AAGGAAAAAGAGCTGAGCTCAGACCGGGGCTCTCGTGATCTCCGGTGATATTCGATGGGTGGTTATCGGTGAACCACTCCCGCGCCACGACGCGTCCCAAGTTTTCATGCCAACTTACACCGCGAACAAAATCCTCCCACCTTATCTCCGTCTTAGGAAAAACAACAAATATTAAATTTCATAATTTCATAATTCAAGTTCTGGGAATCATGTGGCCGATGCCCTCGATCACCACCCACTTTACCCCTCATGTTCCTACGTGCACGAAGTAGTAGTTTGTGTCTCTCTCGGCAATACTTCATTCGTTTGCCCGTCTTTGTCTCTTTTCTTTCTCTCTTGTTTTACCTCCATCCCCGCTGTTGTTATAGTGACCAAACTACAAAGTGCTTCAAGTAATTAAAACCCCCAATAGGGCGTCTCAGATGCAAGTGCTTTTTTCTCGGGTAGCCTCGAAGTTACCCGCGTGGCTTGGGAGCCCGCCCGGTGAGTAAAAGTTTATGGGCACTTCCAGTGCAACCCGAGAAAGAAACCCTCTCTCCTTGGGCGCGTTTGGTCAGAAGGGGAAATTACGATGACAGCCCGCTTTCTTTTGTGGGTGTAAATGCAATGCAACGGTGTAGTAAACCTGCTCGACGCGTTCTGGCGCAGTGCGCTTTGCTGCGCGCCCGCCAGGTCTCGGGCGCGAGACTAAGGGGCGATCTTTTGATAGGGATGGTTCCTTTTTGATGCCTCATCCGGCGAGCCCTATATCCCTTTCGGAGAGGCCTTGAACTGCGGATGGAGAAGGGAATAATGATCGTAGTTGTAGACGGACGAGTGATCTGCTTGCGGGAGAGGCGCTAGTGGGCTGAAACATCCCTTGCGAGTGGAGAATGGTCGTCGGGGAAAAGGAGGAAGAGGGGGGTTTTCAATTCACCGTTGGTTGGGGAATGTTTCCCTCACTCACAAACTGGTATAGTGTGCCTGTACGAGTGCTCGATCTGTCGCGTGTCTGTCGATTGCTGAAGGTATGGCTAAAGAGAACGGAGTGAGACGAAACAAGAGCCAGCTGGGATTGGGCAGGCAAAACATCTTCGACTGGGTAACAGTCACATCAAGAGTCACTGTCCCACTCCATCGAAGAGAATATCTCCATGCGACCACTCCGTAACCACTACGGATTTCATATACTTACACAGTATCTCTTGGATTCTGTCAGGACCCCTATCTCACCTGTCGTCACTCCCGAGCCCGAGGGACACTACGAATGAGGCAAAGATTGTAGGTGTCAAGCCTGTCGGTGGAAGACATGGTGAAAGACCAGAAGATGTACGTCAAGTCATATATGTCACGTATAAGCAGTCCCGCCCCAGACTCTATCTCTAACTTGTCTCTGCCGGCCTCCAAGATGGCCCACAGGCCCCCCTCCAGACCAACCCTCCCCCGTAATGGAGCAGCCAGCAGCCACGGAGGCAATCTATCGCCGAGCCATGGACGCAATCTCACCCGCATCCGGCTCGCTCTCGTCGATGAACCCAAACTTCGCATACAGGGGCGCACCAGCCTTCGTCGCATCCACGTACGCAGCAACGCCGTGCTCATCCGCAAGATCACAACCCCATTTGATAAGCATGGATCCCGCCCCTCGCCGCTGATAATCGGGGTGTGTCCCGAGCGTGTCCAGATCTAATAACAAACGGCACGTGTTAGTGAAAATATATAAATATATATAAGCGAGAGGGAATAGAAAAACAAGATTTTGAGGATATCCTCGCACAGTAATGTCTCCGGTCGCCCATGACCCGCCTCCTCTCCGCCTCCTCTCTCACGAAAAACGCATCGCAGACCTCGCCCGGCATGTCCCCGTGCCAAGGCGGATACCGAGCCCCGCGCTCCTCGGGCATGGCGAGGTCCCATTTCGCGTAGGCGGCGATCCGCGCGCGGCCCCGGGCATCCACGGACTCCGGGTCGACGACCTTGACGTAGCGCTGGAACGGCTTGTTCAGGAGGTCGCCGCGGTTGGCGTCGTCCCACCACTTCCGCACGCCCGGGGTGTCGGGCCACAGGCGCCGGATGCCGGGGTCCGTGAAGGCGGCGAACCAGAGCTCCGTGAGGGCGGGGACGTCGTCTAGGGTCACCGCCTCCAGTCTGAGGCCGTTGGGGGTGGTCATGCTGAAGCTGAAAACCAGGGGAAGTACTCCAGGAGATGTTTGCCTTCGGCGCCGAGGGAGGTCCGGTGTGGGGCTTTAGGAGGATGCGGGGATGGTGAGAGCTACTACAAGTGGCTTGGAACGAGAAGGATTACGAGCATATTCCCGGGTCATCCTCCAGACCCGATTTTTGTTCTATTCTTTGGGCGCATGACCTATCATCGGTATTTCATAAGCTGCGCCCGTCCATCCCCCTTGGGAATAATACTACACCAAAAGAAAAACGACCATAAAGAGTCGAACATAAAAAGAGCAAAAAATTAAGGAAATCATTTCTCCCGAGCCTGAATCGAACAGGCGACTTTCCGATTGACCGTTCAATTACAGTCGGACGCCATGAACCAACTAGACCATCGGGAGTTTCTGATTTGTTGAAGTTTCCGCGACCGTCGTGAGAGTAAGAGGCTTGGCTCGATGGAGTGGAGTCTCAAGACTTGGACTAATACTCCGTCGTTAATGCTCGGAGAGTTCCGGCCTACTTCACCTCGGCTCGGCTTCAACAATGGTATTACAACTGCGTAGTTGCCAGTTGTCCGAAACGGGTGCTATAGAGTGGATATCGAACCTGTAATCCCGTGTCCACTCTCGTCGGTAGTGCCGATGTGTCAACGTGGACGACGCGATACCATGCCGTCGAGATAAACTACGAGGAGGACCAGTTGGTGCCGCACACCTACCTGCAAACCAATACATTCTCACCACTGATCGCAGTTGCCAACAGCCAATGGCGCGTTGCCGTGGCCCTTATAGCTCAGAGGTAGAGCGCATCACTCGTACTTGTGGGTATCACCACTTGGCATGATGAGGTCTCAGGTTCGACTCCTGATGGGGGCAGTTATCCTTTTTGCCCCCCTGCCCGTCTACCCCGTCATCTGGGTTAGAAGGGCGTTTAGGACCCGTCCCGGCATATGAGTGAGGACGGATATTTGAATGGCTTCGCACTAGACGATAGTCGACAAGGATGATGATATGTGCCTTTTAGTTCTCAACATCATGTAGTGAGACATTACCTAGCTCTGACGGTGGATGGTTGCGTGGACGCGGTATCGGGGATGATGGGGATGCCGGGTATCTCTCCCGCGGTGGGTGTGCTTCGTTTCGTTGCACGAGGATCGAAGACTCAAGGGCCAAGAGCCGCTCTCCGCAGTTTGGGGGAGGAGGGGCTGAGACGTTGTGTCACGTCGTCTACACCATACTTGTATAACGGAGGGAAGAGGGCACAGGCGAGGCAGGGCAGCGTTTCGTTCCCCAATCTTGGGACATCCCGTTGAAGGCGTGCGTTATACGGGCAGGCGGGCGGGTGAACGGGGAGCGCGTACCGTTCTAGTTTCCCGGCCCCGCCGGCTTGGATCAGCCGGGGGACGGAATCTCCTCCCGCGCCTTGAAAACCTGTTTTTTTTCGCCGACGTCTGATATCAGCAGCCGCTCTCTGTCTCTCCGGGAGGGCGGGGGCGGGGGAATACCGCGAATGGCATCCCCGCTCCCTTACCCCGAATTCGACGACGACGGGAGCGGCTACCCGGGATCATCACGTCGCCAGCTCTGTGTTCATGTGAACAATATATAAGCATGATCCCGATACTATAGTAAACCGCCCAGGTGGTCCCCAATTATAGAACATTAATGAAGCGGCGATAGATACGAGCCGGCCGGGCTCGCTAGACGCCGATCTTTGACGCCTCTGCGTCGTGATAGGATCAGATCCGGAGGCGGGATCCCCAAAACTGGGAAGAGCCGCGCACTTTGCTCTTATATCAGGCGGAAGTAGAAAGGGTGGGTGTGGGTGGATAGATGGGTTGGGGGGTTAAGATAGGAGAATAGCAACGTGCAAGAGAGGGAGGATGGATCAAAACAGGTAAAACAGGGAATATGATCCTACAAAACAAGCTTCTGAGTCCGGGTATTAGCCAAAAAGTTCTGGCCATGGAGTTCTCGGGAGTGTCTCCGCGGTGTGATGCCGTTAGTCCTTTTGATATGTGTTTTTTTACTGAGGTCGAGACCAGAAACCGCCCGCGGGTCATCAGATGGATAGAGACACTCGTTACTTATACGGGGCGGATCGTTTTTTTCATGTTTTTGTTTTTGGGCCGGATTCTCCGTGGGCTACACTGCTCACTGAAGTTTATCCGGACCTTGACGTCGGCCTCTGCTCGCCTACTGGTCGAGTACGCCCTGTGTGGGAACTGCTTCTTGGCCATTACGTGGGTGCTATCTACCTAACCCCATCGCTGATATCGTGCTCGGGCTCGGGCGCTAATGACTCCTCCGCCAGCCGATGGCTCGGGCTCTGCGGGTTCGGGGTCTGCCACCTCCCCGCTCTCCCCGTCACCGCCTCCGACGCCCCCTTCCTCATCCCCGCCGGCCGTGGGTTCGGGCTCTTCGGGCTCTTCGGGCTCTTCGGGCTCTTCGGGCTCGGGCTCGGGGTCTACCACCTCCCCGCTCTCCCCGTCACCACCGTCCACCTCACCTCCCGCCCCCTTCGTCAGAACAGCCCTAAGCGCAACCGGCTCAACACTAATCGCGCCCCCGTCCTCCCCAAGCACAAACACAAACTCATCCAGCGACCGCGCGGCCCAACCCCTCGACGCCGCCGTCAGCCAGCTCGCGCAATCCGTCGAGAACAGCCTCCCCGGCCTCGCCGTCCCCGACTCGTCCTCAATCGTAGCCTTAAACGCCACCTTCCTGCCCCCTCCCTCCAGCTTCGTCTCCAGCCCCGTCGGGAACAGCCGCACCCTCGGCACCACCGGCCCGGTCGTGGACATGTACAGACGCGCCCCCACCTCCGCCATGTCCGTCCCGTTACTTATCCACCTCTCCACCTTCAACCCCGGCTCGTCGTCCACGGAGATGACGACCGTCGAGTTCAGACTCCCCGAGGCGCGGTAGGTGCCCACGTAGGCCTCGCGCGCCTGCTCGCGCGCCGCGGCGTGGATGGCGGGGAGGAGGAGCCCGCCCATGGCATCCGCGAAGTCGAAGTTCATGTTGACGGGCATGTTGCCCGCGTTGAAGAGCGTGAAACCAACGTCGTAGTCCGGCAGGAGGATCATGAGGGTGGAGTACAGGGCGATGGTGCCGGCCTTCTGGTAGGCCGAGGTCCAGTGGTAGGGACCGCCGCCCATGTTGATGCGGCGGACGCCCCAGGGCGCGCCGAGGGCGGCGGCGGGGTCCGAGGTGAAGGTCACGGGGCGGAGCCAGCGGCGTGTTACGGCCTCCGGGAGGAGGGTGGAGGAGAGGATGGATTTTCCGAGGGTGGTGAGGTCGTTTAACGAGGAGAACATGCTTCCGGCACTGTGGGGGGAGGTGTTAGTTTTTGGGGGGGGGGGGGAGAGCTGCAGAGTGGGAGTTGGAGCGGAAACGGGTAAGGACGGGAATGGACCCGGACGGGAAAGGGAGACTCACGGGCCTTCGTCACCCAGTCTGTTGTACCAGCCCACCGTGGACGCGTTCCCGGGTATCACTCCCTTCGAGGTGTCGTTCGGCGTCGAGTAGTACGTGCCCGTGAGGCCAAGCGGCTCCACGACGTTCTCCGTCAGCAGCGTGAGCCAGTCCTTGCCGGTGATCTCCTCGAGGGCGTAGGCGAGGAGGATGTAGGCTACGTTGGAGTAGGCGGGGGCCGCCTCGGGGGCGAAGGAGGGCATCATGTCGGCCAGGCCCGTGAAGAACTCTTTCGGTTCCGTGTGTTAGATTCTGCGGGGCCCATGAAAAAAAAAAAGAAGGGGAGGGGTTTGGGGGGTTTGTATCCTCACCGGTTCGGTTGCATAGAGGCCCAAGGCCACACGGAGGCGTCTCGGGTAGGTCCGCTGAGGGTGGGAAGCCGACATATACCATGTTGTCGCCGACTTCCTGCGTCAGCTCCCCAAGCAAAGCATCTACCTCCCTCTCACTCCGTCAGTTATCAGAACTCCAAAGCCAAGTTCCTCCCGGAGAAGGAAAACTCACAGTCTCTCGGCAACCCCGACATCTGCCCCGCCAGAGACCCAATCGTAATGCTCTCCCAGTCCACGAACCTCACAGGATCATCCTTCTGCTCCTGCGACCCCAGCCCCTGAAGCTCCGGAACGAACCTCGTGATCGGCGCGAACCACAGCTCGTCCCCCGCTTCGGCCAGCCACGTCAGGACCGTGAAGATCTTGGTCACGCTGCCGAGGCGGTACAGCGAGTCGCCGTCGACCTTGCGCGTGCCGGTGGAGTTGACGGCGTCGAGGTTCAGCGCCGTGTGGTGGAGCGTCCAGATGGGTTCGTCCGAGTGGGTGGAGTAGGCCTGGAGGGAGAAGGAGTTGTTGGTGGAGATTAGGGAGGTGGTGTTGGCGAGGAGAGTCTCGAAGGCGTCCGTCAGGTTGGCGGCGGCGGCGACGACGAGGGGGTGGGTGGGGAGGGAGGTGGGGATCGGGTAGCCCGGGCCGTGGTAGGGGCAGTTTGGGGCCGCGGAGGCGAGGGGGAGGAGGAGGGGGAGGAAGGGGAGGAGGAGCATCGTGAGACTGTTTCACCGGTCGTCTGGAGGGAGGGTGGGAGATAGGGGGGGAAGGGGGGAAGGGGCAAGGAGGCGGGGGTATCGTGAGAGGGCTGCCAGTGTGGAACAGACTTGGGAATGCGGATGCTGGGGGGAGGGCAGTCGCGAAGGGGAGACCTCATATATGAAGTGGGAAAGAAACAGAACCAAAGCCGAACCCCCGTCCGAGCCCGCATCACGAGGCAAGGGAGAAGAAGGCCGAGATCAGCATCCGCAAACGTCCCATTCGCACGCGTGGACTCGTCATCGTTTTTCTTGGGAGCATACAAAGCCCCGGGAAATCCTCCAGAATCATATATTAATGTCTAATATCTAGTTCCCAAAAAAAGCTACCCACTACAAATATGCGAAAACCACATATTGCACCAGATCGGCACCTATAGCCTCGGCTGAGTCTCCCCCTTCTCAGTGCTACTACACATCTAGCTACACAGCGCCGCCGTGACGGTTCCTAGGCGGATTAATAACATTAATCGGCTGCAAACCCGTTAAAACCACACGGTACCTAGGTGGAAGGGGGGAGAGGGGGAGAGAGACGGCATAGGGAAGCTATCTTTAGCAGATTGCGATTAGAAAGGCTCCCGCTCCCATTAATGCTCTCTGCCCTTTGTTGATGCGCTGATATTAATCCGGGGATAGGGTTGACAGCGGGAGATGGGAACGGGAACGATTTGGAGACTCTGTCCCTGAAATGTCCGTGAAGAAACGTGGAGATCGGCACGGAGGGGATCAGTGAGTGCCGTATATATGGCCCGGGTGAAGTCGCTTGTTCCAATCAGCTCGTCTCAAAGGGTGATCGGTAAATGGCGGGGGGGGGGGGGGGGTAGAGAGATGGAGAGAGAATAGCTGTATAGGATATAATGTACTATGTGACGGAGAGCGGGGCACGGCGGCGCGGGTCCGGGAGGCCGGGTCAATTGGGCTGTATGTGGGCCGCGTGGCGACGAACGCCGATCCTTTCACCCGGCGTGGTCGTGATAACGATGAGATTGAGTCGTAAAGAGCTTCCGTTCCTTGGATCCAGGGATTATGGTTTATCTCCTGCGTAAAAAGTTAGCTTTAACCGGACCGCCGGCAAGGTGAGTCTCAAGGACTGCCCCAAAAAATAGAAGAAAGGAAATGAACTCCCATACCCGGAATCGAACCGGGGTCTCCGCGGTGAGAGCGCGACATGATAACCCCTACACTATATGGGATAGAGCTTCCAATTCTTGTACTGTCGAGGCCAGAGACGCAGCTAAGTATCATCAGGAACATTCGTTTTCCCCTCCCACTGTCCTCTCGCCTTGTCTTGTCCAGAAGTCAAGTATTAGTATACATCCTG